CCCGCTGAAGCAGTACCTACTCACATTTGCATGTTTTCAAACTGCTAGGTTGGCAGAAGCTGGGGCTAACAGCAGGAGCTCACCCCACTCCCCGGATTCAGCAGCTTAGCAGTTTAACCCACTGCGCCACCGGGAGCTCCAAGAAATATGTTTTTATTATCTTATTTCTTTGATTATAAGATGCCATAGATCATAAAATGAACACTAATTTCAGTGCCATCAACAGAAAAAACATCCATCCATCCATCTATCTCTACCCACCTACCTATTTATCTGTCAGTCTACGGTACGTATGTATGTATGTATGTATGTATGTATCTATCTATCTATCTATCTATCTATCTATCTATCTATCTATCTATCTATCTACAGTATCTATCTATAGCACTCACAATTCTAAGGTTCCTTCCACACTATCGCTATATCCCAGGATCTGATCCCAGATTATCTTCTTATCCCAGATTATCTGGTAGTGGAGACTCATATAATCCAGTTTAAATCAGATATTATTGGAGCAGGGCAGTGTATATATACGGCATTGTAGAAAGAGCCTAAGACACACCCTATTTTAGAGATGTTTATATGGAGGGAAAATGTGTCTAAGAATCAAGGAAATACGGGATTATTATGTACATATGTTCCTTCCTTTGTTGGCAAGCATCTAGGCACGCTGCAGTTCGTGCACACATATATATTCCAGATGCAAACATACATGTTCCTTGTGCACACGCAAATATTGCCAGCAAACATCTAGTGAGCTTTCTGCCAGTTGATGGTCATACTACACACCTCTTTTCCTTATACACCAACATTACACTGGCAGAGTCTAACACAAATATCAGTGTCAAAGCGACACGCCATTTATGCTATTTGCACTTGCGAATCTGACCGGATCCACTTGAGAAACCAACTGCCCTGCTAAGCGCATCATTACACGCTCGGCATTTACACACACCATTAAACACAACTTCCATCTTGATACGGCGCAAGCACTCCAAGGATACATGAGAACAACCCCACCCCATCGAGCGAACCCGATGCCCATTTTTATGCCGAATTAAGTCCCGGTCTGATCGGCGAGACTGGCTCCAAATGAAGTTGCATGCAAATGCACATTTTCCAGTATGAGTTCCAAAAGGTTTGTGGCTCCAAGTCTGGTAAACTGAAGAACTTCTGTTCTTAAACAGCCTTTTGCTTGATCAGACCGCAGGGAGCTCCAGACGGAGGGCTCCAGACGGAGGGCTCCGAGCGCTACTAGTGAAAAGACATTTTGTGCAGCGATTCCCTCTTTTTCCTTCCTTAATGGATTTTGTGGTTGTTAAAAGAAAAGAAAATTGGAAGGAAAGCATGGGAGGGTCACAAGGTGAAGATGATGCTGGACAAAAACATGCTCCGTGGAATGCAGAATTCAATGGGGTGTACACTGGACTAAGCACGCTTCAGTACAATTATAGCTAAATGCTGTGGCAACTTGGGATTTGTAGTTTGGTGAAGCCCCAATACTTTTGGCCAGAAAAGTTTAAAAGGCCTTGGAAAACTAAAACTCCCGCTGGGAGTTGTAGTTTTCCAAGGCCTTTTAAACTTCTCTGGCCAAAAGTATTGGGGCTTCACCAAACTACAAATCCCAAGTTGCCACAGCATTTAGCTAAAGACCTTGTCAAACTACAACTCCCACTTCAGCCCCTCTTTGCCTTACACTCTCCTGGGCCAGATAATCACATTTGAACCCTTTCCTCTCTCTTGCAGATGGGAACTCAGGTATCCCAGGGTCTATGAGAAGCCACTCTAACTCTTCTTCTCCTTCCCAATCTGGCTCAAAGTGGGGTTATCACTAATATCACAAATGGGATGACTCCCACTAAAAGGCGCCACGCCCAAATGACTTCCTGTGAGTCCATTTATATCAGTGGTTCTCAACTTTCTCAATGTCACAACCCCTTAATACAGTTCCTCATGTTGTGGTGACCCCCAACCATTAAATTATTTTCGTTGCTACTTTTATAACTGTAATTTTGCTACCGTTATGAATCGTAATGTAAACATCTGATATGCAGGGTGTATTTTCATTCAATGGACAAAATTTGGCACAAATACCCCATACTCCCAAATTTGAATACTAATGGGGTTGAGGGAGATTGATTTTATTATTTGGGAGTTGTAGTTGTTGGGATTTATAGTTCACCTACAATCAGAGAGCATTCTGAACTCCACCAATGATGGAATTGAACCAAAATTGGCACACAGAACTCCCTTGAGCAACAGAAAATACTGGAAGGGTTTGGTAGGCATTGACCTAGAGTTTGGGAGTTGTAGTTCACCTACATCCAGAGAGCAATGTGGACTCAATGATGGATCTGGACCAAACTCGGCACAAATATTCAATATGCCCAAATGTGAACATTGGTGGCATTTGGGGAAAATAGACCTTGACATTCGGGAGATGTAGTTGTTGGGATTTATAGTTCTCCTATCATCCAAGAGCATTCTGAACCCCACCAACGATAGAATTGGACCAAACTTCCCACACATAACCCCCATGACCAACAGAAAAGACTGGTTTTTTTTTCTGATGGTCTTTGGTGACCCCTCTGACAACCCCTCGCAACCCCTCCAGAGGTCGCGAACCCCAAATTGAGTAACACCAAGCTCCAGCAGAGAAGAGCTCTGTGCCCCACCCCAGTCATTCCACAGATATATAAAACCCATTTTCCTAATTCCAACAGACCTCACTACCTCTGAGGATGCTTGCCATAGATGCAGGCGAAACGTCAGGAGAAATGCCTCTAGAACATGGCCATATAGCCCGAAAAAACCCACAAGAACCTGAGTAACACTGATCTATACTATGGAGCGGATGCATCTTGGCACCCCTTTAAGGGCCACAATGGAATCCTGAGAGTTGCCATTTGGTAAAGCACCAGCCTTCTTGGGCGGAGCAGTTTAAAGACCTTGTGAAACTACAACTCCCATGTTTCTATAGTATTGAGCCATGAAACTGTAGACTTAATGCAGTTTCACACCTCTTGAACTGCCATGGCTCAAGATGGGTTTTGCAGCTTGGCGAAGCACCAGCACTCTTTGGCAGGCTAAACAAAAGATCTTGTGAAACTACAACCCCCATGTTTCCATAGTATTCAGCCATGGTACATCCACACTGTAGGCTTAATGCAGTTTGACACCCCTCGAACCGTCTGCCATGGATCAAGATGGGATTTGTAGCTTGATGAAGCACCAGCAGTCTTTGGCAGCAAAAGACCTCGTGAAACTACATCCCTCATGTTTCCATAGCATTAAGCCATGGGAGTAAAGATGGTCTCAAACTGTGCTAATTCTACAGTACAGATGCACCCTGGGGAGACGCTATTCTCACCCTTTCACTTTAGTTTAACCAATGCAGTCAAGGAGTGTGTCCACACTGCAGAATGAATACAACTTTACATGACTTTAAGTGCCATTTGCACAATGCTAGTTGTAGTCGGGCAACCTTTCTCTCCCAAATAGCAAGTATTTATTTATTTACTACATTTATATACTGCTTTTCTCCCCCTAAGGGAACTCAAAGCCATTTCCAATATTATAAAGGCAAAATTCAATGTCGTACATACATGTGAAAACATAAACAAAACAAAAAGCAAGACAATAACATACTAGAACTACAAATTAACCTAACCATATTAAAACATAAACATAAAATAACATTGAGACATACAGCATAAAATAATTAAACATTGATAAATACAATAACATTTATATTAAATGTTATTGTAGCGCCTCCCCAAAACTATAACTCCCATGTTTGCATAAACACTGAGTCATGAAAGTTAAAACTGCTTTACAGATCAACAACAATTCCCATGATTCCACAGCACTGAAAACAGGGCAAAACTCCAGTGTGTGGTCACGAGGCATGGGCAAACTTGGGCCCTCCCGGTGTTTTGGACTTCAACTCCCACAATTCCTAACAGCCGGTAGGCTGTTAGGAATTGTGAGAGTTGAGGTCCAAAACACCAGGAGGGCCCAAGTTTGCTCATGCCTCGTGTGGACACACCCTACAACTTGTGGCCCCTTCTACACTGCCATATAATCCATGTCATCTGCTTTGAACCAGATTATATGAGTCTACACTGTCATATAACCCAGTTGATAGGCAGTTAGGAATTGTGGGAGCTGAAGTCCAAAGTACCTGGAGGGCCCAAGTTTGCCCATGCCTGGTATAGACACACCCTACAACTTGGAGCACCTTTTACAGTATCATATAATCCACATGATCTGCTTTGAACCGGATTATATGAGTCTACACTGCCATATAACGGTAGGATGTTAGGAATTGTGGGAGTTGAAGTCCAAAACACCTGGAGGGCCCAAGTTTGCCCATGCCTTCTGTAGACACACCCTACAACTTGGTGCCTCTTCTACACTGTCATATAATCCACATTATCTGCTTTGAACCGGATTATATGAATCTACACTGCCATATAACCCAGTCGGTAGGCTGTTAGGAATTGTGGGAGTTGAAGTCCAAAACACCTGGAAGAGCCAAATTTGCCCATGCCTAATGTAGATGCACCCTACAACTTGGGGCCCCTTCTATACTGCCATATAATCCACATGATCTGCTTTGAACCGGATTATATGAGTCTACACTGCCATATAACCCAGTCGGTAGGCTGTTAGGAATTGTGGGAGTTGAAGTTCAACGCACTGGAGGGCCCAAGTTTGCCCATGCCTGGTGTAGACACACCCTACTGCTTGGGCACCTTTTTACAGTGTCATATAATCCACATCATCTGCTTTGAACCGGATTATGAGTCTACACTGCCATATAATCCGGTTCAAAGCAGATAATCCTGATTTTATATGCCAGTGTAGAAGGGGCCTTGGTGTCACTGGACAAGAGCCCCAAATTTTGGGTGAAAACAGCCCTAGAAATGACACCACCACACCTTTTTCCTTCCTTCCTTCCATCCCTCCCAAAGTTTTGACTCCCCCCAAAGACTTACTTTCAAGGCAACAGCTTGGAAAGAAGACCCACCGAAAGGGATGCTCAGCTCCGTCCCGTGGAGAGAGGCTGCCTGAGGCTGGGAAGGGGAGGAAGGTGTGGTCCTGCTTGGCAAAGTGGGTGTGCAATCCTGGGGCCGAAGAAGGGAGGGAGAAGGAGAAGGCTGGGCCGTGGGCGGAGACTGCGTGGAGCGAGGGAGTGGGAAGAGGAGCAGGAGGAGGCTGGGGGCTTTTGTTGTGGCTGTTGCTGGGAGAGAAGAGAAAACACACACACAGAGCAGAGGCACCAAAAGAGAGAGAGAGAGAGACCACCTCTAAAGTTGAGCAAAGTTTCACCCAACTCAGCACACATACAAACACAAAGAGTCTCATGTATTTATTTATTTCGAACCTTTTTACCCCGCCCTTCTCAACCCCTGGGGGGACTCAGGGCGGCTTACAATTGGCAATAATTCAATGCCGCATCATAAAATATAGAATAACAAATATAACGATTAAACATGAACATCAATAAATAAAGATTAAAACAGTATACTTACACTCTGATTAGCTATTGCCCGTCTGGTGGCTGTTTAGCTAGCCATCTACTAATGATTACTCCGCTTAACTTATCCAAATCCTCTTCCATGCCATAGTCAATATTATCAATTGTCCTTTAACCTGATTGCTAGAAGGCCTGGTCCCACAGCCCCATTTTAACCTTTTTTCTAAAGGTGAGGAGGGATGACAATGACCTAATTTCCCCTGGGAACGAATTCCACAGGCGAGGGGCCACCACCAGGAAGGCCCTGTCCCTCCTCCCCGCCAAGCGTGTTTGAGACAAAGGCGGGGCCGAGAACAGGGCCTCCCCAGACGATCTTAAGCTCCGAGGTGGGACGTAGAAGGAGATACGTTCGGACAGGTACGCTGGACCAGAGCCGTATAGGGTTTTATAGGTCAAGACCAGCACTTTGAATTGTGCTCGGAATTGGATCGGAAGCCAGTGGAGCTGGCACAGCAGGGGGGTGGTATGCTCCCTGTACGACGCTCCAGTGGGTAATCTAGCTGCCACCTGTTGGACTCATTGCAATTTCCAAACAGTCTTCAAAGGCAACCCCACGTAGAGTGCGTTGCAGTAATCTATTCAGGATGTGACAAGAGCGTGGACCACCGTAGCCAGATCCGACTTCCCAAGGTACAGGTGCAGCTGGCGAACGAGTTTTAACTGTGCAAAAGTTCTCCTGGCCACCGCCGAGACCTGGGGTTCAGCGATGAATCCAGGATCACTCCCAAGCTGTGAACCTGCGCCTTCAGGGGGAGTGCAACGCCATCCAACACAGGCTGTAACCCTTACAACTGACCAGTAGGACCTCTGTCTTGTCTGGATTCAATTTCAATTTGTTAGCTCTCATCCAGTCCGACACAGCAGCCAAGCACCGGTTCAGTAGAGTCTGAGACACACATAAACACAAAGCAAGCAGCATCTCAGGCTCCATCTACACTGCCCTATCATCCAGATTATCAAAGCAGATAATCCACATTATTTTTGAACTGGATTATCTGAGTCTACACTGCCATATAATCCAGTTCAAAGAAGATAATCTGGATTTTTTTTATCACGGTGCAATGGGTTAACCCCTTGTGCTGGCAGGACTGAAGGCCGATAGATCAGCGGTTCGAATCTGGGGAGAATGCGGGTGAGCTCCCTCTGTCAGCTCCAGCTTCCCATTTGGGTACATGAGAGAAACCTCCCACAAGGATGGTAAAACATTTATTTACTTATTTACCACATTTGTATACAGTGTTCTCTCACTTATTGTGGTGGTTACGTTCCAGGGCCTCCCGCAATAAGTCATAATGTAGGGACGCTATATTTATTTTAATATTTATACATTATTTTAGTAGTTATACACTATTTTAAGTCTTTATAAACTTAAAGTGAAGAAAAGGAAGGAAAGGCCTTTCGAGGCTGGAGGGAGGATGGAGGAGGGAAAGTGTCTCAAAGAGCGGTGGTAGCAAAAACCCGCAAAACAGCGAAAATACTGCAATATATATTTTAAATTAATATTTTTTGAAAATCGCGAAACAGCAAGTCGGCTAAAAGTGAACCGCGAAATAGCGAGGAACACTGTACTGCCTTTCTCGGCCCAGAGATGACTCATCAAAACATCCAGGCATCCCCTGGGCATCGTCCTTGCAGATGACCAATTCTCTCACACCAGAAGCGAATTGCAGTTTCTCAAATCGTTCCTGACACGGAAAAAAAACCTGGATTTTATATGTAGAAGGTGTTGCGTAATGGAAATCACCCATAGTTCACGTTTTATCATACACGGTCTTACCAGAGAAAGAAAATATGCCATACAGGTGATCAGTTAAGAACAAGTAGTTCACTCTTTGTAATGCATAACAACAGTCATGTGAACACTTGCATTGACTCACTCAATGTCCTTTTGAGAGAGATTCAAAGGGTCTTTCAGTGCCCATGTGGAAAAACTCATTCCAGCAACTCATGAAGCAAGAACTGCCTCTCTCTCTCTGAGCTCCTGTACAGCTCAGCCTAAATATGTACCGAAACTGTTGCCAAAACTCCCAGGCTCAGCTAGTTTCTCAGGTGTGGCCCAACCAAACAGTTTGATGCTTTGCATTTTCAGTTAACACACTCACAAACTGATTTCTTATATGTTCCAACAGAAGGGGCCTCATATAATCTGGATTCAGAAACTGCATAGAATCATAGAGTTGGAAGAGACTTCATGGGCCATCCAGTCCAACTCCCTGCCAAAAAAGGAGGAAAGTCACATTCAAAGCACTCCTGACAGATGGCCATCCAGCCTCTATTTAAAAACCTCCAGTGAAGGAGCATCCACCACACTATGGGGCAGAGAGTTCCACTGCTGAATGACTCAAATAATTACAAAGTTCTCATGTTCAGGTGGAATCCCCTTTCCGGTAGTTTGAAGTCATTGTTCCATGTCCTAGTCTCCAGGGCAGCAGAAAACAAACTTGCTCCCTCCTCCTCATGACTTCCCCTCACATATTTATACATGGCCCTCATCATGTCTCCTCTCAGCCTTCTCTTCTTCAGGCTAAACTTGTTACAAAATGCAAACAATCACTGTGTGTGTGTGTGTGTGTGTCAACTGCAAAATTAAGTGCATGAAGCCAATTGGTTGGGCAATGTATGGGGTGATGGCTGAGCCTAGAACTTTTAGATACTGTTGCAGTTTTGTTCAGGCTCAAACGTTAAGGTTTTCAGAGAATTGGAAGGCATAAACACAGAGAGAGGCAGACAGATTTGATTCTTGGATGCTGAAAAGGAGATCTCTCATATGGACAATGAAGGACATTTAGCGAGTTGATGCAACTGATCATATGGTACATATGTTGTTCTGAATTAAGAAAAGTAAGCAACTTGTTCTTTACTATTTAACTGCGTGGCATATTTTCTTTCTTTCTTTGGGCTGATCCAACATGAACTGAATTTGCTGACCAAAAGGTTGGTGGTTCGAATCAAGGGAGCAGGGTGAGCTCCCGCTGTTAGACCCAGCTTCTGCCAACCTAGCAGTTCAAAAACATGCAACTGTGAGTAGATCACATTTGCGGGAAGGTAACGGTGCTCCATGCAGTCATGCTAGCCGCATTACCTTGGAGGTGTCTATGGACAATGCCGGCTCTTCAGCTTAGAAATGGAGATGAGCACCACCACCCTGAGTCGGACACAACTAGACTTAGGGCCCTTCCACACAGCCATATATCAAGGCAGAAAATCCCACAATATCTGCTTTGAACTGGGTTATCAGAGCCCATACTGCCATATATTCCAGTTCAAAGCAGAAAGTGTGGGATTTTATTTAGCTGTGTCAAAGGGCCCTTAAAGTTAGGGGAAAACCTAAAGTTAGGGGAGAAAGTAAGTGCAAATGTATTTATTTATTTAGTACATTTATATGCGTGATTATGGGGAAAGAGAGGAAAAATCTGCCGTCCGAGTGGTCTCCAGCAAAAGCAAACCGCTGCAGTCCCTCTAGGCATGTGTTATCTTCCCCATAAATACCTTCTGCTGCTTTGACAACACTCTGCTGATGCTTAAACCGTGGGCCTCCCATCTGTGAAATACTGGATGAAATACAGACCTTGTTGCTAACACCAAACTGCTAGGAATGCAGAAGTGCAGCAAGTAAAAAGAAAAACATTTTCCATTCCGTGATGTGACAGCGCTGCATGCGTGACTGAAGCTGAACTTAAGAAAAAGGGTTTTCTTGCCACATTAGACCAAAGTTTATTTTACTCAGAGAATTATTTTTCCAACAGCGGCGAATAGCCAGGCAGTTGCTTCTAGAAAGCACAGAAATGCAGCAGGATGAGCTCAGCATTTGCACATTTCTTTGTCTGCTCCTCTTCCTCATCAACTGACAGATAGCAAAAGTCAGCATGATTGGGAAACTAAATTCCCAAAGATCTTTGAACTAAGTGGATGCGAAAACTCACCACTTTGGGCCCTTCCAGACAGGCCCTATATCTCAGGATCTGATCCCAGGTTTTGTGTTTATCCCAGATTATCTGGCAGTGCAGACTCATATAATCCAGTTTGTTTATTTATTTGCAGTATTCCTATTCCACCCTTCTCACCCCGAAGGGGACTCAGGGCGGATCACAGAACACATATACAGCAAACATTCAAAGCTGTTATACTCTAACAAGACAGACAACAGTACATAGATAAAGGTATATATAGGCTTTCCCAGCTTCGGCATCTTGGAGGCTTGTGCTTGGTTCAGACCGTAGGGTGGTGCTGTTGCTCTTTCTTCCCTGCCAAAGAGCTTTTGTTTGTAAACTTCCTCCTTTTGATCAAATTGCTGATATTTTCTGGCATTTCCTTTTGGGTACCTTAAATACCTCCCCACTTTAAAGTGGTACCTATTTATCTACTCACATTTGCTTTTGAACTGCTAGGTAGGCAGAAGCTAGGCTAAAGGCCAGGAGCTTACACCGACTCGGGCTTCGAACTTTCAACCTTTCGATCGGTAAGATTTGCTGCAGCTGGTGGTTAACTTGCTGTGCTAAATCCTGGCAGAATCAGTTTAAAGCAGATCAGATCCTGAGATATAGGGCCTGGCTGGAAGGACCCTATGACTCAGGTGGCCAAATGTCTTATTTATGTATGTATTTATTTCGAATGTTTGTACCCTGC